GGTTCTCCACTGTCCACCTTAAACAAAGAAAAGTTTACATGTGATAGCTAATAGAATCTTGAGTTAGAGCAACATATGGTTGTGAAGCTCTTGGCTTCAAAAAAAAAGAAAAAGAGAAGAAATGATCTAGGACAAGTATCTTTAAAACTAACTTGTCTTGGATAGTATAAGGGTAGTGGAAATTCAGGTAAGATACGGAATAGTGGTAGACTAGGGGAAATTAGAGATTAACATGAAGAGATACAGGAAGAGGTAGATTGAATGGGATAGGTTAAACAAAACAATAATAAGGAAGAACGAACATGGGGCAAAGAAATTCTTGATTCATCATGGTCTAGAGGAAATTAGAGGTTAACATGAAGAAATACAGGAAGAGGCAGATTGAACGGGATAGGTTAACCAAAACAATAATAAGGAAGAATGAACATGGAGTAGAGAAATTCTTGATTCATCATGGTCTATTCTATTTATTGACAGCTACTAACCTTCATTCACATATCAATTATAACTAATAAGGAAAATATCAAAATTATTAAAGAGAAAACCAAAAGGTTTGATAAAAAAAACTCTATCCAAACAACTAAGTTTCTCGTAACTTAAAATTTACCTGAATAAGCCAAATAAATCAAGAATATTAAATAATAATAACTATAAAAAATTTCTCTAACTAGAAAATTATTTCCAAATTAAGATCTTTTTGTTTGTTCTTATCCTGGCCTTCTTTCTCTCTCTCTCTCTCTCTCTCTCTCTCTCTCTCTTCTCTATCCTCTCTTCTCTCTGTGAACCTGTCATTGATAATTTGAAAAAGGCCACTTTACAGTAGGGCACCGCCTCGCTTTTTACGACCCAAAGATCGCCTGTGACAAGGTTCAACGGCTGCCCATCCTCAGAGTACTAGATGTCGTGGGACCAAACCAAAAAGCTCATCCTCTTCGGCAGGAAGTCCTTTGATGTCGCCTACGATGGGAAAGATCTTGAAGGTCTACGCATATGTGAAAATGGCAAGGGTTTCGGAGTTACAAGTTGTCTAGACAAAGAAGACGTCAACTGGCTTGTCGATGTGCTTAGCAATTTCTACTGGTACAAGGGTGGAGTTACATGGGGAAAGAACAAAAAAGGTCAAAAGTGCACCATTTGATTGGCGTTATGCTGGAACAGACGAGGGTTGTGACATCCCAGGTGCCAATTAAGACAAATGAGTATCAGATATAGATTTAGAATAACGAGTGCATGATAATATTTATGCAGCAGAATTAAAGCTTAACAAATCTCTTATAAATATATATATAATGTTTCAAATACATACATCACTGAGGTTAGAAGTGGCTACAAAATATAAAACATAAGGTCACTTCTTTCACTATGCTACTGGAATTCATTAGAGTGCGGGAACAGTTATGCACTCAGACTTGTAGATCTATAGGATCCTCATAAACTTTCAAGAGTAGATATGCCTGCGATTTCTCATTTTCTTCCTCATTTGGGGAGAGATGGAAAGAGTGAGTTTCATATACTCAGTAAGAAAAATAGTAGTAAATTAATATCGTAATATTTCAAAAGTTTATTATTTTATCTCACCGTTTAGCTTCCTTATTTACCTAACTTATCATTAGAAAAGGAAATTATTTATTTGAATATCAAAAGAGTATGTTAGCACAAAAAATCAAATGTACATATATCATGCCAAATAGTAGAGAAAATTAAATAAATCATGAAATGCATAGATTTTTCGTGTCATATTTCGCGAAATCGTTACAAACTTCCATATCTGAAGGCAGATACAGATTTTCAACTGCGCAAGTGGAATGATAAGATCAAATACAGATACGACAATTTGTTTAAGCCCACTTCCGGTTGGCCAAATCATGGTACGATATATGATCACGGTTGTACCAACCATAGTGATTCTAACAAATATCTATAGTTACGGCATTATTTAGCCACGGGTGACTCCTACAGATAGTGCAATACCACTCTCGTTAGAGAGCATACCGTCATCTATTGGAAGCGATTCTCTTACGTCTTTCTAAATTAGATAGGGGAGGGGGAAACAGATACCCCAAAGGGTAAGGGGAACATATACCCCTCATAGATAAAAAGTTTAACGAGACACTTGATGCAATATGGATGTCAATACAGATATATTTCGGACCATACAAGATTCATTCTACTTTTTTCTTTTTCTTTTCTTTTTACTTTTATTATTACGGACTACATATTACATATATTACATGTAAATTTATCAAGTGTCAGTGATTCACATAGCATGTTTGAAAATCAGAACAATTTGACTCATTTGAACACAGAAGTATGCAAAACAGACAAACTAACAATTATATTAAATTTGCTTATCTAAAAATACTTCTTAACACGTCGAAAGTAATACTAGATTTCTTATCGAAACCTTAATGTTTTCTTTTTCACCGTATTTTCTTTTTTTTCTCTTATTCTCTCACTAAGTTACTATCTCTCTCTCTCTCTCTCTCCAAACCCTTGAAAACTGGAAGAAATGGAAGTGTGGAGAGGCAGAGAAGGGGAAAAGTAATTTATAAAATTTCGGAATTATTGGATTCACGCAAAGTGGCGAAATTCGATGAAGAGAAAGGAAAAAATATTCTTGGCATGAAAAACAAGGGAGGAAAATTTCCTCCACCGGCAGCGGCGGCGTGCCGCCCAAAGCAGCAGCGGCGTGCCGCCCAAAGCAGCAGCGGCATGCTGCCCAAAGCAGCAGCGGCCGCTGCCCTTGTAGCTAGCCTGCAAACGCATAGCCTATTGTCGCGCACGCAGGCCTAGCGTATTGGCGCCGCTTGTGTAGCCCAAGCGCACAGGCTGTTGCGTGACGCGTGCGCACAGTGTGCATA